ATAGACAACCGCGTTCTAAATGTACCCTGTAGGTACATATTTGGTGACAGTCCTATCCTGGTAGCTGCTTTGATGAGGCTGTTACTGGAACTTAATGGTAGACTTCCATCAAACTGTAAAATAAGATTATTTTTTCCAGGAAAGAAACAGTCTGGTAGATCTAAAATTGCCTTAAATTGTTCAGGTACATGTGCACAGGTGTGGAGGTAGGACACAGTCTAGTCCTAGGCTAGTAAATAGGCATTTTTCTTTCACAGAATGTTGTATGTTCCCCTTCCCAACTGTAAAGTGGTACTGTGATAAAAATTTGGAAGGAATTTTTATTATTACCATCAGAGGCAAAAAGGTACCTGCAAGGTACACTTGAGGAAGAAATTTGCAACGTTGGGCCAGTTAAATGGCTTTGAGGCAGAGCAGCTAAGCGAATGTGCTGACTGTTTCGCATGACTGCAACTTTGCTGTGATCAGTGGCTTTCTGGTTTGTCTTGCTCCTTTGGTTCCTGATTTGGCTTCGCCTCTGGACTTCAGATGTTACCTTCTGACACTTTCTTACGTGAACATTCACTTTTGAGTGAGGTCTGGATTTACTACGTGACAGGCATACATTCTATTTTATTGCGTTGTACTGTAGTTTAAGAAATCTAACCTGTAAAGGATTCCTGCCTGTGGACTTGGCAACTGAAAGTAGATCAGTAAAAACGTTGACAATGTTAACATCTTCACCACCTTTTCTTTAGTGTAAGAGAGATATGCGTTTAGCCTGAGCTGCCTTTCTGTGTAGCTGATGGTACCGAAAGGCTTCCTTCTGTAATTTATTATTGAGGAGAAGCTACTGCTTTGAACTTGGTTGGTCCCTGCTTTACTTTTTGCAAAATGAGCTTCTTTTGAAGAAATGTGGTCCTCCTGTGCCTGTCTTAAATTGCTGTCTTACACCACTGCATTAGTCAGATTTTCCATTGCTGGGCACAAAATACCATACATCCTGAATTTAGGGAGGGAGGAATTTATTTTGGCTCATGATTTGCAGAGCACTCACTCCATTGTTGGCTGGTTCAAGGCAGAAAGAGCTCAGTAGAGGAGTCTGACCAAGTAAAATGGGGCAAGCCATGGCATCCAGGAGACAGACAGAAGGGAATCACTGGGAACAGGGGTAAACCCTTCTGGTCACAACCCCAGCGACCCACCTTCTGCTGGACTCTACTTCCTCAGGGCACATGCAGCCATGAACTCATCAACAGATGAGTCCATGAAGGAACATAGCACCCCCACAACTGATCAGCTTTCAAATCCTTCATCTCTGAACACATGAGACATTGGGGGACCTTTCCGGTTCTAAACCATGGCCACTGTTGAACGGGGTTCGGCTCTCTGCCTGTCCCACTTTGTACCTACTTTTCATCTCTGACACAACCAACTTCAGGGCTACTAGGCTCACCTCTCTGCTTGGATTCCCTCACATTAAGACCAAGCTTCTGTCATGACCAGGTTTATATAGGGGCCATCGGAAGCCTAACACTAAAATTATGTTTGTTATAAATCAACCAAGGGTCCTAGTCTCACTTGGAACAAATGTCTTTAGGGCAGTGTTTTCTAAATGATTCCATAAAACAGATTCATGTACAGCTGTCTTGGTGTGAAATATTTGGGCACTGATATGTAGGTAGGACAGAAGTTTGGACATACAGAGTATTACATTTGCTATGGATTGAATAGCAGTGATAGGAGATTAAAGGTCCAGGGAGATAATTCCATAGTGTACAGTTCGCGCTTTAGGTTTCTCAAATAAACAAGGTAGTGTTCATGCTAAAGAATTATGATTTTAAAAGACCTAGGGTCAGAATTAAAGTAAATTTCTTTTATCTTTCTTATTATTCTGAAATAAAGCAACATCTGTGCCCCCTATGAGGACTGAATTTGATTTATCTTTTGAGGTGAATTCTTTCAAGCATCACCTGCAACTCATTGTTCTGGTTAAATCTTCCTTTTTCTATCTGAGTAACATGAAAAAGAATAATGATGGCTCTTTCAATTTTTAAAAATATATTATTAATTTGTTTGGCAAATTCCTACATATAAATGAAAAGAAGGAAAATAAATGGTTTGCTAACAACGATTTCAATCAGTTAGTATAATTATTATTTATCTCTTTGCTTTTTCAAAGAGACCAGTGGAAATTGTATCTTCTAAAAAAAAGTGAGTTAAATAATTGATATTTTGATATAAAGTCAGATTTAATGAGAATTTCTACAGGAAGAGTTCTGTAAGTGGCTATGTACTAATTAGTACGGGAATTCCTATTTAAAAACACCTGTGTGTATCTACTGAAACTTGACTTTCTTTTAATACTCCCAGAACATGTTTTCTGTTTAAAACTGGAAACCAGTTATCATATATCCTTTTTCCTCATTAACCCTTTGGTCTGGTCTTGTTTGGAGAAGCTGGTGTCCTCTAACATATAAGCTAGTAGTACTACAAAGAGAAACAGAGTCTACTCAGTTGACAGTATTTCTGACTGATCATTCATATTACATAGGTGGAACAGTGCTTTTGTTTTAAAGAAGAGGTGTCTCTAACAGTTTGGGAAACTAAGGTCATGAAGCTGTTAATCCAGCTGCAATAACAAGTCTGAGTTCGACCTTTGAGTCCCACGCATTGGCACACTGCCCTCTTTCACACTCTCGTCTCTTTAGGCCTCATGGCAGTTGACATTGTGGGGAATGGGCTGGCTCAGGGTGACATCATCTCTCCATCTACCCTTGTTCTTGGTGCTTGGGCCAAGTCCCTCGTTCAGATGTAATGTCTGTTCCCATCAGCAGCTTCCCAGAGCTTTGCAGCAGACTTAAGTTCTTGGGAAGCATGGAAAAGAGACCTCATTTCTTAATAAAAATTGGAAGCACCATTTATTGATCAAAGGTTATTGAATCCATCCTATGTGACTGGGTACCATGATCTTCAAGCTTTAAAACTGAATGGGGGAGAGGGGATGGGTATTTTTGTATTTCTAGATGCCAGATAACTATCCTTAGCCAGACTAAATAATTAAGTATAAAAACTGAGTCTTACTTTACTATTCCTTTCAGCCAGGCTCAAATAATTTTCTCTCTGTTCTACAAGTTGCCTTTATGAGGATCTGTTGTATTTTCTTCAGGAGCAATTTTAGAGTTAGAGTGAGAAAATCTTATATGTATACTTTGGCCACTTTTTTCCCCATGACTAATTTTTTGTTTTTTGTAATGCTATCACACACCCAGAGGAATGGTGCTATTCATGTTAAACAACAGCTTGTTGTATCTGGCTTGGGTCAAGTGAAGACCTAAGTCCTGAGTGTTGTTGGGATATCTCAGGTCCACTACATCACAGAATTGGCTCTTGCCTTGGTGAGATGGAAACAGGACCTACAGCTGCTAAGATAATGGGTTATCAATGTTTTAGCTTCCTTCCTCTCGTTTTTATTTCTCCTTCTACCTGTTCTGTTTGCTTAGGTGTTTGCTAATTCTGCCTCTGTCTTGTAGCTCATACATGTCTTGTGCTCAGAAATGAAAAACATCATTTAGTTTGAATTAATTTTGGCAGATTTTATACTAGTTAGCCCCTCTAAAAATGTCATTTTAATAAACGCTGAATTTTCTAGAATGTTTTATTATAGCATTTAAATGATCACAAATGGTCCTTTTCCTAATTGGACCCAGTCTTTCCTTGTTAGTCAGTTAGTCAGCAAGTATGAAAGTCTCTTTTACCTAACCAGAGCCCTGGTGGCACTTACAGTGCCTAAAAAATTAGAGCCATGTGCTCATGCTGGGCCGAAGGATTCCAAAAAGGATATTCTCTGGACAAAGCAAGTAGGAAGAAAGAGTTCCTCCAGAGGGGTTTGGCCTCTTGCTGTCTGAGTGGGAGCTGATGGTAGCACCATATGGCCTTGGTGGTAGGCTGCCAAACTGACAACCACCCACATAGCCATCAGGGCGGCCCTGAGCCTGCAGTGGGAAGTTGGTAAACTGCACGCCATATTGTTTCTGTCCTTTCTGACTTCAGACTCCTGGAAGTTTTCTTAGTTAATGGTTTGGTTTAATGGAGTTAATCCACTTTGATGGCAGGGATATGTGAGAAGGAGTCAGAGGATTCCTGTTGGATTCTGAAATAAACGAAGGGAAGTGATATGGGTGGCATTTCAACATAGATTTATTTTTCTACATGAAATTTTATTTAGTAGATTTTTTCATTCAAGAGGAAACCCATTCCTTGGTCAATAATCTGAAGACTCTCTTAGATTTTTTTCATTTAAAAGGAATTTATTAAAAAGATTTATTGTGTGGGCGGGAGGGACCCAGGAGGCAGCAGTGCCCAGCAGTGGCTGGGGCCGGCGGAGCAGGGAGAGAAGAGATCCCCCTACCCCCAGCAACAAGCTGATTCGGAAGAACACAGGCTGAGATGATAGCAATTGAAGTAAAGAAAGAACTTAATGCTTGTAGTGTTTGATTGACTTTGCAGATCTAAAGCAGGTAGTCTGAGCATCTATTTAGAGGATAACAATATGCAATACAGTAGTTATTGTGGATTACAGTATGCAGGACAAAGAAGTGTTGACAAGAAACTCCAGCTCAATTACTTTATATAACTCTTACGTGCAGTACTGTAATTATAGCAGTACGTAAGTCTACATGACTGTACTGTACAGAGCAATCAGCAAAAATGACAGCACTATACAAAAAAAAAAACATGGACATTCTATAACCAAGAAGTATCAAACTGTACAAGAGCACAAGGCAAAACAGGTCCGACCAGCGTGCTTCAGCTGCAAGCCTGAACAGTCATGAAACCAGCAGGCCCTCCGATGAGGAAGAAGTGTTATAATTATAACAAAATAACCATATTTTTTGCTGTGCAGTGTCAGAATCTGTATCGCACCATGAATCTGTATCCCCCTTCCCCATATTTATGCAAACAGGAAAGGAATGAATGGTAAAACTTAGGGCTTTTCTTCCTTTTTCCTTTTTTTCCAGGTGATGTATTCCACATTACTGCTCCCAACAAGTTCACCTTTGAGGAGGCTGCCGAGGAGTGCGAAGCCCAGGATGCCAGGCTGGCGACCGTGGGGGAGCTGCAGGCGGCCTGGAGGAGGGGCTTCGACCAGTGCGACTACGGGTGGCTGCAGGATGCCAGCGTGCGCCACCCTGTGACTGTAGCCAGGGCCCAGTGTGGAGGTGGTCTTCTTGGGGTGAGAACCCTGTATCGTTTTGAGAACCAGACAGGCTTCCCTCCCCCTGATAGCAGATTTGATGCCTACTGCTTTAAACGTAAGTGTTTGATATCTTTTTTAAAATTACAGATAAAAAAAAAAAAAACATGCTTCAGAAGCATGCACTGGTGTTGAGCTGGCCCTCAGAGAGGGTGCCAGGTCCAGAGTATGTGCACAGAACGGAAGCGGTTCAGTGACTTGCGTGAGCATGCGGGCTGAATGGCAGTGACGTGCTTAAAACAGCAGGAGGTTGAACAAATGGCTTTGCAGCCGGGCTTAGGAGATGTCAGGTCAGCTCTTGACTCAGAATCACGGACGTGCTTCTGAATAGTTACTTTATCTTCACTGCAGTCCTTCAATGCAGTGTTTTTGTTGGTACTGTGATACCTAGGCTGATAGTAGCTGAGTGAAATCCTTGAAACCTGGTTATTTTATCTTTCTTTATTATCACCCTTTCTCTGAGATGGTGAAGTTAAATTTCAGTGATTGCAGGTGAGTATTTAGAGTTGATGTGGATAATCATATGGTCCAATTCCTACCTAAAAGTGAACCGTGATATTGATAAGAATGTCCATGTGTCCCATTTTATTCCAAGTAATAGAATATGTGCCTTTTGATTACATTCTCTTATGATTAATTCTATATTGATGATTATTAATGTGATTATTTCTATAATCATAATGATTCATGATAAATGCTATATTGAATTAATTCAAGCACACTATGTCCTCTTTGCAACACATAACATACATAGGGTATCTTTTCTAAGTCCACCACTTAAAACTAGTTTTAAATAACATTTTTTAACATTCGTGATATCATTATTTTATGCATTCAGTTGTTCTTAAATTATTTTACCAAAATTAGTTGCATGATGGAGTATCATGACTACAGATGGCTTGAAACATGCGAGTAATCCAGAGTCTTACTGTAATAGTTACTGTAGGGTCTGTGTTAGGCTAAACGTGCAAGTTTTTGGTGACCTTGCCTATCTCCAACATAGATAGTTTGATAAGTTGACTAGATTTTACATACATCTTGTAGAAATATGTAACTACAGTGAGCAGAGGGCTCGTTAGCTATTTTATACTTAGCTTCTCCAGTGAAATACACAGGCATGTTTCATCAAGGAGAAGGACCCAGAATGGCTCTGTCTAAGTCGTCCGCACAGTAGATGTCAGTGCCATGGAAAGACTGTATTTCTCTTACTTTTGTGTCCTGGCCGAGAGGCTTCGGCTCTGAGGCTCTGAGGGACAGGGTCTCGTATGTTGTGTATTAGCTCCATACAAACCAGCTCACTCATAATAGGCTGAAGAAAAACTCCAGCTTCCCAGGCCCTGAAACAACAGTCTTCCCTAATACTTTTCAGGACAACAGCAGTAACTAAAATCTTATCCTGAAAGCAGACAGACAGACGTTCCTCGGAGCCACATTGTCACTGCAGTAATTATCAAGTAATTCAGGCTCTAAAATCAGTGTTGAGCGATGAGATGAAGGAACAAGGTCAGATTAATGCGTGGGAGGGAAGGGGACAGAGACCCCCACAGGACAGGAGGAAAGAAGAGAATTCCCCACCCCACTATTTTAATTATTTTTGGGGGTGCAGTCTAAGAGTGGCATTAGAAAATTTTTAAACAACATGCCTCACTCCCTGAAGGTAGAACGGAAATCGAGGCTCATCTGTAGCCACAGAGATTAGTATAGAAATTCAGCCTAATGTGCCTTATTTATTTAAATGAAGAAGTCACCCGAATGCATGAAAGAACATGTTTAGATTCCAGTAGAATAACCACCCACTAAAAATCTACATAAAATGGGAAAAGGGACTTAAGGTTTAGATATATTTCTTTTTGCTAGTTCATTAAATGTGTGGAACTTGGAAAGAGAAGGCATTCATATACTGGTGCTTTTCTACCTAAATTGGAGTCCCGAGTTTTGTTACTTCTTCCTTCCCTGAAACCCTATCTTATTCAGAATTCGTTCAGCCCAGGAGCCATTAAGAAAGTCTAGCCATGGCATAAAAACCTTCCTTACACTACACACAGTGCCAACTGCTTCCCAAATTTCTAACACATTTTGCAAGGATTCTTTTAATATGCATTATCAAAATGACTTGACTCTTGCCCACTTTTCCCACATAGTCTGGGAGTGACTAAATCCTGTAGGGTAAACTTTATGAGTTGTGGCCCCAGCTCCAGTTCCAAAAGCCGTTTCAATGCTGAACAGCTGCTTTAGCAGAGGAATTTGGAAATGTATCCACATTTTCTCATTTGCTTTTATCAAATATAGAAAATGTTTTTTGTTAAAACCAGTTGGTGAATGCACATTCCAAATCTTAGTTTGCTGTCCTTCCTTTCTGCCAGTACACTCATGAAACAGCACATTTACAGTTATGATAATAACTATAGCTAAAGTTTATTCTGCTTGTGAAGTTTTGACAAAAAGGTAAATGAATATTCTTGTGTAAGTTTCCCTCTCTATTTTCCCTTGATGACTAAATTAAACTCTGTACTTTTTATTTTTGTTTGACCTCAGCATTATGCAAGTCTGTGAAGGTTAGAAAATCAGGAAAACATATAGGGTTTTGAATGTCCACCCTATCCATCCCCAAATCAAACTCATTCAGGACTTACGAGAATCTCACTTTGTGTGTTATTAGTGATTCCCAGGAACAAAAGACAAGGGCATATTTCCTTTATAATCCATTCTAATATTTACAGCATGGAGACATTAATTAGGGAATAATTTGTACTTAAAAATCTGCTTTTTGGAATTAGTTGGCTTTCACTCCAAACTTTTAAAAGATAGTTTGAATTCTAAGCCCACTTTTCAACCTGGTCCCTTTCCTCAGCCATGAATCCAGAGTCAACCTATTGAGTATCAACCACTCTCGCCACTTCTCCGCATGCCTACATTTATTTATGAGTATCTCGTTTCACAAGAAGACCTGATTTAGAGTTAGTCATTTCTCCATCAGGTAGACAGTGTGATAGACTATGATGTGCTAAGAGGGCTTCCCATTTTATTAGGAAAATCTGCCTCATGTCTTCCAACAGAAGCGCAGAGAAGATAGGCTATAGAACATAAAATGCCATAAGTACAGTGATGTAAACCATCTGTGTGGCAGACAGCTGCAAAGATTGGAAGGGAACTTTTGTGGGAAAAGAAGTATGCTGATTTTTGCTGGCTCCCTTAATAATGAAGTGGAAGGAACACTGGTAGTTTTCCAAGACCAGAATGTCTCCATGTGAACACACTTTCTGGAAGAACTTTGCGGAATAACCCAGTTATGTTTTCATCTTTATGATACTCATCTGTAATACAGCCGTGCTCATTTTTAAGATGTCGCTTTGTAGATATTTGTGCTTTTTAGAAAATTATTTCCTTTTTTGGACCAGCTGAAACAAATGACAGAGATGGTCAGATACAGGGAGTTGGGATGGAAGTCAGCTGTGAGGTCGATGGAACAGCCTTGCAACCCCGAAAGGAAGTCTCAGGCTTCTCATTCCAAGTCGTAGAATTAATTAACTTAATTGTAAACAGATTTTTGCAAACTGGGCTCTAAAATTATTGAAGAAAATCTTTTTTTCTCCTGCAAACAAGCTTTTATAAATCCTGGCTTGGGAGGCAGATTCCCTGAGAAATATTGCTATTTTCTTACCACGCAATAAGGCCAGAGGCAAGGCCACAGCGAGCTGTACAGTAATAATTGACAATGACATACGTTTATTTAGTTTTTAAAATCTGAGTCCATTTTTAAAACACTATAAAAATATTTTCATAATGTTGTAGAGACTTTTGAGCAAAGAGCTTGTCTTGGAACATAGGAAGACCTGACTCATAAGCCCTTTGTTTGGCCTTAAAATAATATCACCTTAAATTAATTTCATCAGCAATGGAAATACTCAGAGGGAATAAGTAAAATTAGCCTTTTTGTTGTTATTGATAATAATATGATTAAATTTTCTCTAATATGCAGCATTCTAAAAGTTTATATTATGTTTCCATGGGAGTTTCTCTGTACATATTTTTTACTATTTCCCCAAAGAATTCAGTTTTAAGACAAACATGAAATTTGGCAATGAAATGAGGTAACGGTGATGGAATTTCAGAGGATAGAGAATTGAATTAAAAGAAAAATAGTTGACCACATTTTTGGTCTTTAAGTTGTTCATGTCAATCAAAGTAAACCAATGCCTCTTCCAGGAAATGAAGGGGGGTGGAAAGGCTTTTCTTAAAAGAGAAAAAAAAAACGATATTTAACATGTTTTTAAAGACCTCAGTTCTGTTTTGTTTAGCTTGCTTTAGTGGGAAGGGATACATAGTGATAGGCTTTAAAGAGTATTTCAGTATACAATAACGCAATGACCTCTGAGTTTTCGTTATAAAATTGAAAAACTTAGACTTTTAAATGATCTGGGGATAAGCACAGCTGGAAACAGCCCATGCTGGATAAATGAAAGGAACCCATTATTGCCTTATTCTGGCTTACAATAAAATCATACCATTCTATCATTAAATTTTGACAGGACAGACGCAGTCCCAAGGTACCCAGTGTTGTTTTTCAGGGGTTTCCTTTTGTCGATTTGAGCTTTGACAGGCATTACGCATTTTATCAGGGAGAGCAGGCATTGCCACCTACCCAGTGCAAAGTCTTAGAGGCGGCCGCATAGCAGTGACAGTAGGCTTTCTGAGACTGGTTCCTTGCGAGTTCAGTGGCACCTGACTTTTGCTTTTCGAATCTTCTGATTTGTTTTTAAGCAGCAACCTTTAAGTGCCAGGCTGGTGTGTTTTCCCCCAGTTGAGGAATTGAGTTGAAGACATGGGTGTTTTCATGCATGATTTAAACTTGAAGCAGGCCAGCCATTCCCTAGAATTCTAGAAGCATTATAATGTAATGTTTCATGATGACAGGTTACTTTATAGCGCCTGAGTCCCTGCTTCCTCATGCTCAGGGCTGTTCCAGTGATTTGTAATTACAGACCTAAAATATATCATGTGGGTACTCTCTTCCTGTGCGCTTCTGTGTCATCCTAAAGAAAGACGGGGACCTAGGCCTGCCAGAGGTACAAACAGAGTGTGCAGACGCAGAACAAAGTGTAGAACTACAGCAAATGCCTGCAAGCCTCTGCCAGACGCAGTTGATAATTTATTAGAGACCAGCCTACAGAGTTGAAAGGAAGATGAGGACGCAGTGTCCAACACCTGGAACCAAATGAAGAGTGCTATTAAAAATTTAATATCCTGTTTTTATGGAAGTCTCCACATTGTGGACGGCATAATGGTTCCTGTGTAAGCCTGTTCCATTTGATGTGGCTTTTTTGTTGTTGTGCAGTCTGAGACACTCCTTCTCCCCCGAGACCCCATGCAGTTGAGAAGGAGGGAGTATGTGGACCAAGCTAGCACTAGGGCACTGTAGCCTGCAGAATGATCGTAGCACCTTGTTCTCCTGCTAGGTTTCAAGTTCCCACTATAGTTTCTAACAAATAAACTGTTGTATCCACACTCTTGGACCCCTCCTTTCCTTTCATTGTCTTTGAGAATAGTCTTTCCTACCTGTGAGTAAAAACCATTATACCCTTTACAATATGAAACAAGTAACCTATTTGTGACTGTTAAGCATTCAGTTATGTGTCTTTGGGTTACAGTGTTGAGATTCTTCTTCCATCACAAAACACTTTGGTCCATCCAAAAAAAATACAACACTGGGCATGCAGCTTTTTTTATGAGTGACTTGTCTAATCAACTCTTTGAAATTATTTTTCTAGCTAAACAGAATGTATCAGAGGCTACCACGATTGAATCGAATATCCTCGCAGAAACTGCATCACCCAGTTTATCCAGAGACCCACAAGTGGTCCTCCACAGAGCGACAACTGTAGGCACTGAGTTACCTAGTATCACAACAGAGTTCCCTCCTGCAGGGAACATGATCGGTTTTGAAAAGAGAGCCACGGTTCCAGCTCAGGCTGTCACACACCTGTTAGCCACTGTAGCGCCCACCACTCCTGCTGAAAGTGCGGCAAAGCCTTGGGAGATGGACTCCTACTCACCTTCTGCCTCTGGACCCCTTGGAAAAACAGATCTATCTGAAATTAAGGAAGAAGTGCTCTACAGCACAACAGTCACCTCCCAGCATGCCACTGATTCATGGGATGGCACCATGGGAGACACTCAAACACAAGAATCAGTGACACAGGTTGAACAAATAGAAGTGGGTCCCTTGGTAACGTCCATGGAAAGCTCCAGACACACTTCTTCCCAGGAATTGCCTGTAACCCAAGCATCCTTTGCATCCACGGAAATGAAACTGGAATCCAAAACTACAGGTCCATCTGTAAGCACTGCTCCTGAGTGGATAAGCACAAACCACTATGGGGTCACCTTGGGAGAAGACTACAAGGAAGATAGGACACTTACAGTCAGATTGGGTCAGAGCACAATGGTCTTCAGCCAGATACCAGAAGTTATCACGGTGTCAAAGACTTCAGAGGACTTGAAGTCCATGGCAGCCCCCACCATTGTTCTACCTGTGACTCAGCCTGAGCACGACAGCTGGGAAGAGAAGCAAACAGACAGTCAAGTAACTGAAGATACATCTGGCCAGGCTCTCTCTACTACGTCTTTCTCATCCTGGCATAGTACGGAATCATTTCCTTATTCTGGTGATAAAACATTAGCAGAGGAAGTGTCCACAGATATTCATCCCTCCTCACAGACAGAAATGACACAAGGAAGAGAAAGGACAGAGACACCGAGACCAGAGAGGAGAACTGAGACTTACACGCTTTACGAGGTACAAGGAAAAGTCACCAAAGAGCCCTTCACGGGTAACGTGGAAGAAGAATTCTCTGGAATGAGGGCCTCTACGTCTTCCTCAGAGCAAATCCATTTTACAGAATCTTCTGTGGAAATGACCAAATCTTTAGATTCCTCAGCATGGACAACAACAGAGTTAAGTGTGAAGCCAACAGCAAGAGATGTGGAGGAAGATACTACGCGAACTCTTGGGTTAGACACCGATCAAGATATTCCCAAGGGTGATGAAGACAGTCCTGCAGCTCATGGGACCCGCAGTACCTCAAGTATGGCTGTGGTCACTGTAACAAAGGGGTCGTGGGATGAGGGTAATGCAACATTCATGATTTTGGAGTCCACAGAGCAGACAAGTTCTCCCAAACAGTCCTCTGTCTTACTTACCACTTCAGGAGTGAATGGAAAGGATGAAGAAACCCCAGGTTTCACAGATCGTGGAAGAGATGCATTTTCTCCTTTTCCAGGTAGCACCCAAAAGCCAACAGAAAAATTAACTGAGGAACACTTGACAGAGGAGGGGAAAGTCACAGTGAAACTTCAGCCCACTACATCCATGGGTATTACCGAAAAGTCCACTTGGAGAGATTCTGTGACTGAAGACAGAGTCCCACCTACCACAAGCACAAAACGCCAAGTTATTTATACCACCCTGGAAGGAAGTGCGCTGGGTGAAGAAGATGATTTCTCTAAGCCACTGTCTACTGTGCTCTCATTTGCACCTTCCTCAGATGTGGGAGGATTAGCATTTGTGGATTTCAGTAGCACGCTGGAGCCCACTACTCCTGCAGACACTGCCCATACCCTTCCTTTTCCGGTAATGCCCGGGACAGACTGGGGAGAGCCAGCTCCCTCTGCTCCATCAGAAGGGGAGGTTCTAGCTGAACCTTCTCAAGAAGTCATTGAACAGCCTTACCTGGAAGCAACGATGGCTCCTGAAACTCTGACAACGACAGTGGAGACCATGGCGGAAGCAACTCAGGAGGAACTTCCTTGGGAAGAACCAATAACCAGGAGACCAGATCACATAGTGACTTCAACAGTCGCCATGCCCACAGAGGCAACGACAGGACTGGACAAAGACGACGGGGAAGGGTCAGCATATATGGTCCCAGAAGATCAATTGGTGACAAGTGCTGAGAGAGTCCCAGTTTTAGAAACAACTCCAGATGGAAAAGTTGAACATCTAACCAGTGCTGTAACTGAGCACAAAGCGGAGGTGGATGAAATGGTCAGGACAACACCAGGCATCAAGCCGGAAGTATTTGTCAGGCCCGAGTCTGGAGAGAAAGAAGCAGAAGGCAGCAGTCCCACAGAATTCACGTCACCCTCAAGTCCCTTCAGCACCACGCTCAGAGAGGAAATCACTACCAAGCAAAGGGAGGAAACGTCCTTGGATTATATCGATTTAGGCTCAGGATTGTTTGAAGTGCCGAAAGGCACAGAATTACCATGGTTTTCAACAACCGAAGCAGTGGTTCCAGGTGATATCACTACTGCATCCGGTGCAGTAGACAGGCGTCACCCCACTTCCACAGCCAGGCCGTCCTCAGTGCCCACCGAGGAACCCTTTCTCATCCACAGGGGACCTGGAGAAGGAATCACGCAGGACCTGCTGCCCCTTGGAGAATCCACGTCTCCCCTTCCTTCCACTACACTTACTGATCTCATAGCTAAGAAAACAGAAGCGGATATTGACAGAGAATATTTCGAGACCACAAGTTCTCCTACACAGCCCCAAAGAACACCCACGGTGGAAGGCAGAGAGGCTTTCAGATCTCAGGCAGTCTCCACTCCACAACCCCCAGAGGGCACAAAATTCCACCATGACATAAATGTTTATATTATTGAGGTCAGAGAAAACAAGACAGGTAAGTTTTTGCTTTCTAGACATACCTTTCAAGGTAATCAGAGTTTTACCTTGAAAGCTACTTTAGCAGAAAAAAAGTTTAATCAACATACCAAATGCTGTCATTAGAAGATGCCTGGAGTGTGAAAAAAAAAGTATTAGCTTCATATATTTGTACAAGAATTGGAAGAATATGTTAAACAATTTGGAATAATGTTAGATCCAATTTTATTTTAAAGTTGTAAGAAGCCCTGCTTTGTCATCTAATATAACCAAACCATCATGTTACATCACTTCAGTACATGCAGAACAAAGTGTTTTAATTCCTGTGTCTTTCCATACATTACTACTCAAGCGTAGCACTAGACTGTGTTAACATTCCATCGGTCTGTAACTATTAACCTTTAGTACTTACAATGTAAACAGCTAAAGTGATTTTGCCTATGTCTAGGGTGGACAGAAAGACATCCAAAGGTTTGCCTTGTTTTTTCTCTTTCAGGATTTTACAGGTTTATTATATAACTTGTGGGGTGGGTAATGTTATTTTAATGAAACTCAACATATATCCTTCACATACAATCTGAGCACATACAATCTAGTTTAGTTCTAGGCATTGCTATAATTGTATCAGGTATAATTTCAGAAGGAAGATGTAAGTATATCTTTGCATCCTAAAACCAGGCTACACTGTTTATATTATGACTTAACTGTTTCATCTCTAGGAATATTTATGATGCCTTCTATTTCACTCAACTATTTTAGCTCTTGGCAAAATTCTTAAAAGCTGTTTGTTGATATTGATCAATATTGCAATCGCCAGTATCACACATCGCTTGTTTTTGCCTGAAGGTGAGACCACACTGTCATTTACATTTGGTCAGCTGGGTTGAGTTCAGTGGATCAATTCAGGTTCGCTTGTTTCTTTTTAGTAGATAACTGATTTTAGCAGAGTACTGTATTCTAATGAATAGAAAAGGTAAACAGACAAACACCTGTTTTTCCTTGACTTGGCTCTGAGAAGCTAGACTGAAAAAACGTCTTTTGACATCAGGGTGTCTTACTGATGAAATCGTCCTCTTGGGGTGCTGTTACCTGAACCTCGATGCTGTCCTCAGTAGCTGCCCGTGGAGACAGATAGGGGCTGTGATTCCAAGCCATTTGGCCTCCAGCATGATGGGGACTTTGCTGCTTCTGCTATCTGGAATGATGTCAGTGAATTCATGAGGCCTGGATAGCAGATAAGAACGTACTCTCCTAGTTTTTAGAGTATTGGTCTTTACTTCTCAGTACAGTTGAAAGAGACTAGGAAAGGAGCATGATTTTCTTGCTAATGGTGCTGTTTCTTTTCTATAGTCTGTCTTTCAGAACTGAAGTAGAAAAGAGAGGAGTTACCAAGAAGTGGGAAAGAGGGTTGCTGTTAGTAGCGCTAGAGAAGGAAGATATAACTATAAAGAAGGGAAAGAAGTAAATGATGACAAATGCTTCATTTGAGAATTTAAAAGTACTTCAACTACTACATACAGATTTTCTTAATTTGCATACTGTGTTCATGGAGATACTTTTAGTCTGCTAATAAAATGTATTCTGCATCCAACAACTCTTCTAAGTGGGAAACCGAGCATTAATAAGATTAAGCCAATCTGTTACAAAATGGGAAAAAGATGAAATTCTTCCTAGAAGAGTTGGCTATCATGAAGGAAAAAAAATGTTCACAAGTTGTTAGTCATAGCAGGTCTGAAACCGTTTGTGTGACAGTGTGTATTTATAAGTGTATGGACCTAGGAGGCATGAATAAGGGTTTCCTTTCTTTTTTCCACTTCTAAAATATGGGAGTATGCTTTGCCTTCAGAGTAATTTTGTTTTGTGTTGATGACGTTTGGCCAGAAACCTCCTTGGAGTACTCGGTTATTGCAGTAGGCAGGATTCCATAGTGCGTGTATGTGTTCATGTGCATTGCATGTGTGCATGCCTATGCACGTGTGCCTGTGTGTGTGTGTGTGTGTGTGTGTGCGCCTGGGTGTGTGAAGGTAAATTGAGCATTAGCGTATCTATGGACTAACCTACCTATCATCTCTATTTTCCTGTGTTCTACCTATGCTATTCCTAGGACAAAAAGCATTGTTGATTGCCTTCCTGAAACTCTGAGCTCACTTATACTAATTTCATTTATTTCCTCTGAGAAATTCAATTTTCCAACATTTTGAGCTTTGGCAAGGAAAAACTCTACAGCAGATGGACAATTAATGGGTTGCAAGGCAGGTGCATACATTAATAGGGGAAAGCACATGCATGCCTAGAAAGCCAACATTTTTCTGTATCAAGAAACAATTTTCCAGACTGGAAAATCTTTGATGCATGTGTGAACTTGTAAAAATGAATCCATCGGTGTAGAATTGACCTTTACATCTACTGCATACCTATGTAAGTGAAAATAACCACCGATGCTACACTACACCAGAACATGTGTTATGTATATATATATATATATATATATATATATATATATTTTTTTTTTTTTTTTTTTTTTTCTGCACTCAACAAGTCATATAAGTCCTGGTGTTTTTTTTTTTTTTTTTAATACTGTGAAACAAAACATGCTACTCAGGGCATGCTTGTCCTTTATTTGTTGAAATGGGGATCTTAATAACAACTTAGGGTGCTGTTGCCATGGGCAACGAGAGTTCAGAAAATCTGAAGGAACTTTTCAGCTCATAAAAATTTTATGAACTGAAAAACGCCATGGGGCGTGTTTAACCATGGTGCTGGGGATCCTGAAAACTCCTCCCGTCTGTGGCAGGAGTCATTTGCACACCTGCATTTGGGGGGAAAAAAATCATGGAAGGATTTGTTTGTGAACAAGACTTGGGGGTTTGGAGGTGTAGAAGAGTTTCTTCGATTCCAGAATTTGTTTTTTGAAGAGTGCTTCAGGAAATCATGTAAAATGACACAGGTTAATGTATCAGAATTATGAATGTTTTAAAAAAGTGATACACCTTTAAGTCAAAGAATAATCTAGAAATCTAAAACTGTTAAATATCAATATTACTAAGGCTTGCTGATGTCATCTTGTTAGTTTCTTTTTATGAAACTTGTTTTATAACTTACATCTATTCAAATGTGAGTGTAAGGCAGGTGAAAAGCCGATATTAAGCTACAGTGATTTAAAGAGATATGGATAAAATTATCAATGTAGTGATTTCACAGGATAGTTAGATTTTGAGAAAGATTGACTGAATTAGAACTCATTTTGCTGAGTTTCTTTACAAAGAAGTGTAGTTTACTGCTTCTGTCATTTTGAAATCACTTCTATCTGATTAATCTCCTCTACATGGTTTTTGTACATCTGAGATATTTATATAAAACTCCAAGTTTATTTGCCAAGTTTTCATTTTTGTAGAATTTTAAGGAATCTTTTATATAGAACATTATTTTTAGATTTTTTTAAAAACTAGAACATCAGACTGCTTTCTTCAACAATGTCTTATCCAGGGCCCCAGTAGCCTGATAGAAGAGTGTTGGTCTGGTTGATATTTGAGGGGACAGGCAGGAGCTGTTCTCTTGGGCCCTGTCCCTCATCACCTCTGGTACTTTCTAGAAGAGCACACACCTCAAACACATAGCTGGAAAGGAGAGTTGTATCATCTCAAGCAGAGATAGTGACTCATTCCTGATTGAGTTGATTTTTTTAGGGAAAAATGTCTTTAGAATTGTTCTGGCTGTCAGTACTTTTGTTCCAGTATAAAGAGACACACTAACATTTGCCTTTGGACAGTTGCATATGTGGTGCTACATAAAGCCAGCTATGCAAAAGTAGTGTTAATCTTACCAACACTAGTGTGTCAGCAAGACAGGACAGAGTCACAGTGTAGGGCGTCACGGGTATGTGTGAGTCCGTATCTCCACGCTTCCGCTTAGGGCTCTCTGGACAGTCGGACCACTTTTCTCATGCTGAACACCTTTTAAACTCAAGAGACAGATCTAGGGAAAGCAGATGGGCAGGCGGACACACTGGGCCTAACTCTAGGCAGTGAGTCCAGTAGCCTTGGCGCTCTGAGGAGAATTTTGGTGGTGAAGTGATATTCTTCTCTGATGGACAAACAGGGACCCTTTCCCTGCTGCTGCAATGCTTCCAGGTCCATGCATGCCTGAAAGACCAAGAACTCTGGGAAGGCCATCTCCCAGGGCTTCCCCCGGTTTGTTAAGAGTGTATGATCTCAACGTCGGTCCTGCCAATCAGGACTCTCTGCATTGCCACGCTCAGATACCTGGCACGAAAAGGCAATCGCATGCTGCTAGTCCACGGTTCTGTGTCGCTTCTTTCCTGCAGAATTGTGGGGCGCACAGGTGGTCTCCATTGCTGGGTTCCACCTGTGGTTAACTCTCAGAGAAGCAACAAAGTAGCCTAGCCTTTCCCACCTTTGGCTGCCTTGACTGCCCCAAAGGATTCAGCTCTTGTTCTATTACTCAAGTAAGGTTAGATTAGAAATTGCTTACCTTCCATGTCTTTTGTAGAGTAATGAAAGCAAGAATTGACCTTCATGCTTCAGAATTCTGATAGAGCTTAACACTGTACCATAGCCTAACTTCCTTAAAACAATTCTAAATGAAGTGTTTTGTATATATTACACATATGTGCACATATAGACACACATATTCACCTGTAGAGTTTCAGCTTTAAGACTGTTCTGTGAATAATAGTTTAGACCAGTGACCTTGAGGAAAAAATGTAAACAATTCAAAGTTTGTTTCAAAAGATGAAGTCTATTAATGAAAGAGGTGTTGTGTATGTAGGCATAGCAAACTTCTTTTACTTGTCCTAAAATAAAGCAGTAGTTTCTAAAATTGACATTTGCAATAATAGTTAACCATTATCGAGGAGGTAGTGGTATTTCCAAAGACAGCTACCTTGAGAAAGATGAGCATATCTTCTGGCAAAGAACAGCCAATCAAAAGTCGTCTTCAGGTTGCTAGGTACAGTGGCTGCTCTGGAGGCTGAGGCAGGAGGGTGGCCAGTTCAAGACC